AGGGGGTCCGCCATGCTCCTAAAGGCTGAAGCTGATTATCCTTTGTGAAACATCTTTTGTTAACGCCAAAGCTCTTTCCAACTGTTGTTGTTGCTGGAGGACAACTGGTAGCCAGTCTTTGTACCAGTTGTCTTTTCCTCCACTCCTTTTTGATACTCTCTTGTCTTCGTTGAGTAGATGTTCCTAAATTGCTGAAGTGCCTCACATGCTTGTCGGGCGGCTTCCTTTTGAATTGCTCCGAGTCTTCTTTCCGCGAGTCCCATCTCATTGAGTGAGAGTCCTCCTGGCCTTTGCATTCTGGATTTGAGCTCATCCAGTTCTTGTTGGTATTGTGTGAGGAGGTCACCTGGTTTATTAGTTGACTCAGGTGCATTGCTGCCCTTGGATTCGGCTGGGCTTGAACCTCTTGGGTGGCTTCTGTTAGTAGGAGTATATGTTCGTTCGGCCATCCTAAAATCAAAATATTTATTAGTCGTGATAAAGAGTCGGCAAGAATATTACTGGTCCCTTCGATGTGCTCAAATTTGACTTTCACGCCGCTTCCGGTAATGTAGTCCACAAAAGCCATCCAACTGACCCTTGAGGGTTTGTTTTGGGCAGACTTGTTGAAGAAGCTTATTATTGCTTGACAGTCCGTTCTGATGATGATCTCGTTTTTATCAAGAAAATAAATTTTTAACGCCTCCAGAGTTTTCATGACTGCATGCATTTCAACGTCTATGGTGGACTTGATTGGACTATATTTTCCACTATAATTGCTGGTTGCACACTTTAGACATGCATAATGCAGACAGAATAATTACTACCTTCTTCAGTTCAGACCAGGTTCCTGATAAAAGCTCGGCCATGGTGTTGCCTTGAAAGTAGAACCCTTCCTTATCTTTCTCATCTCAGCCTCCTGATTCTCCTATAGTGTATAACTTGCTAGAGAACTTAGCTCAACAGGAAAAACATTCCAGATATATTTAATTCATAAAGAAGAAAGATCTTACATTACTGGTGTTGCATCAGATTTTGCTAGCAAATTATTCTTTTCTGCTTTCTTTACATGATTCTTCTCTTCAAGCTTCATGAAAAACTGAGATAAATATTGAAATTATATATTTTCCAGATTGAGTAAGACATTGCTCTTGAAGGGAGAATAAAGAAAAATCTCAAACTGTCAACAAACCTCCTTGTGTTTCTCAGCATGCTCCTCTGATCTGAAATTAAACCCAGAAATAGTGTTTCTTCTTGCATGTAGAGTAGAACCACTGAAAAAGGAAAAAAAATAAATGCAAACATAACTATATAGCAAATAAGTGTCTTCCAAGATTATACATGTAGTTAGAAAGCCGAAGGTGTACACAAGATAGTGGAATGGGCTTTATAAGTATTTCCAACCGGAAACATGTGCCTCAGGGGTGTTCCATTCTTACTGCATGACTTATTATCACATGTTAATGCTTGCAGTCCAAATGAAAATGGTCTACCGAGGAAACCAGTTTGATTTGACAGTAAACTATCAACTACAGGATAGATAAAAAAGACCCAAACATTGTAGAAACTATATGACACCAAAACAGTCACAATACTGTACAATGGAGTTATTATTGATGCCAAGTTGGTAGAGATAAAACAAAATGAAAATGTTGCATTCTCATTTTCAGGAATTCATCTGAGTACTATGCATCCTGTGAGGAGACGCATTGCTGTTATTAAATACGTCAATCCAATGTTCTCATACTGTTAATATTCAGATAAAATGCATGCCATCTTTACCTGTGTCCTATGATGAGTATGTGCAGACATCATGTAAGTATATATATACGAGCTGAAAGGTAAAAAACAACAGAATTTGAAAAATACACAAAGCTTACTTTCCAGTTCCATCAGCATACCACTAACAGCTGCACCTCTGGGCCAATCTTTATGGGTTGGTATCAAAAAAGAAAAAAAGAACTTGAAGGTCAATAAACAATACCATAGCATTGACTAAAGCACTAAACTTAAAAGAATTCTGCAGTACAATAGAAAAAATAGAAAACAAAAGACTGATGAGACTTACTAATGATCTCCTGAGAGCTAGGTGCACTAGCCAAGTAGGAGAATGACTGTAAAGAGCACAAGATTTAGCCAAGAAGGAGGTGGGTTTTCATACAATTGATTAGAGACAAAATAAATCAAATCATTTGTAATTGTAGATGCATCTTTAGGTTGCCTAATAACTGTGGTGCTCTTCCTCAAACCACCACCAAGACTACTACCTTTAGAAGGAACTGAGAGACGGTGTGAAAGAACAGGCCTTTTCTTCTGGAGTTCATTTGATTGACCATTCTGACCACCTAGATCTTTCTGTGCTTTCTTCACTGGAATGCCTCCATCAGGTCCTGATTTCTAGACATAAGAGTGTCACCCAAACCAAACTCCATAATCCCTATAGAGAAAGAGGGTGCAAAAGATAAATCAGAGCTTCAATATCTGTAGCAACTACTGAATTGACCTCACCAGAAGAATCAATAGCTTCCCCCACAGGTTTTTCTGGAGGACCATCGTTGGCTTGTATAGCATCAACGCAATTGTCGCTAACTTCGTTCTCGATATTTGACCCAAGTCCATCATCCACCGAATCTTTCTCCAGAGTGCCCTTTACAAACTCCGGTTCAACTCCATTATCAGATTCCATCTTGTAGTAGAACCCCACAACCACCAAGAAGCTGAACTCTGCATCAATTCAAACCAAAAAGATATCTTTCGAGCACTTCACGAACCCTCAAATCAGGCCTTGCCGGAGTAACCCTAAGGCCCTACAAGTACAGGCCCAAATTGCACTTTATCTTGACCTACTTTTAATTACTAGTAACTGAGAACACCAGATCATTCATTGTTTCAAGCTAATCCAACAGAATTAGACCAAAGACGATAAGGACACAAGAAACATATACATTCTCTATAATCTACAAAGACCTCACTAGAACTAGATATCCACGTTTGCAGCATTGAGGTCAGGCATACAAAAGCTCATTTCCCAAATCCCACATCGGAACTCCCCAACATGGGAAACAAACAAAGCGCAAATAGATCAGGAACCAAAGAAGGAATACCCAAAGATCTTAAAGGTCAACTCTGCAGACCTGGACGCCACGGATGATCCTGGAAGCTTTGGGAGAGAGACCATGATACAATGCCACCAGAGAGATCGAGTGCCCTGAAGCCCTACCTGCCGTAAGGATCAACCGATTCCGCCGTCCAAATCGCCGAACCGCCCCCTCCGAAACCCTGGTTCCCTTCGCAGCCCACCTCCAATTAGAAACGTGATCCGACGGTAAGTCGCGCGAGGCCCAAAGAATCCAGTATGCAGGGGAACGGACGGTGGGAGGAAGTCACGGGGAGATCCGAGCCGTCCGATGCTGAGCACCCAACCACTGGAAACACGTCGACAGCTTTGACGTCGGTGCGCATCCTAGCGGCAGATTCGGATCCACCGTCACAATTCCAACCGCAGACTGCACCATTCTCCATGGCCAGCCGTTCGATTTGATATTTGAAGCCACGTGGTCTCGACACCGAAATCCAAGAGACGCTATCTGATGCATTACACCTTTAAAATTCGTGCCACCAATAATAAGGCAAGTAGAAGAGTGGGAAAACATTCATGAGACTTTCTGCACCTGCTAATTGGCATGATAAGTCAAAATTGGTCAAAATTTTGGCTGATGCCCAGCAATTGATTCAATTCTGCTCATGATGGGCATAAAACTAATTTTGGAGATAATATGCTCCCTGTTGCGATTTGTTTATATTTTTCATTTATAACATGGAAATACTGGAGAATTTTTTTAGTAAGAGAAATAATACAACAGAAAGAGACAATTCATCATTGATGAGAAACTTAAAGCAAATGATGTAGGTATTGTGGCCATAGAAATTCTTAATAACTACTGACATAGAAATTATTCATTGTATCTAAAAATGGATGCCATATAATCAACTGCATACACAATGGTTTATTTAATTGGTACATCAAAAGCTGAGGCAATTTTGGAATATTTTAAGTTTGGAAGCATAGCGTGTCCTTGTTGTAGTCTGCTGGAAGGGAGAACCTTCCGGTTCATTAGCTCCAGTTCAATATAGCATAAGAAAACTACAAGCACAAGAAAAGGAAAAAAAAAGGAAAATAATAGCATGTGAATTTTAAAGCATTAAATGATGTAGGACAACTACATCAACTTTTTGGCTTGATAACAAAACCCCTTTTCTTAACTGAGTCGATCTTTCCAGTGAACAACTGTGCTAAAATTTGCTGAGGTGTTGTTGCATTACTCCAAGAAGATAGTGACTTCTCTAAGTTAGCATGGCTGATCTTTTTCTTTTTTATGTGTTTTTTTTTTCAGCGTGTCAAAATCATCGAAAGGAATTTTCTTTAATATTTCCACAATTTTACACTTAGATGTAACAAAATATGATCCATATTTGGACCATAATATATCTAAGATTATGATGTGCAGTGCTTGGTTGAAAAAGGCTATGCGCTTGATCATGATGGGGGATGCTGAGTTCCTCCATTGCATTACATTTGAGCTGCAGCAAGCAGGAACAATCCACAAAGCATGGCATAAGCCCCTTCTTCCTTTTGATCCATCAACAGCAACAAGGTTTTACAAGCAAACAATCAATGATTGATTGATCAGATTCATCGTAAAGTGAAGAATGTTTTCCTGCACATTGTTTACTGCTTGTTTCCTTGTCTTTTTACATGGTCAGGTATTGCTTCATTGCTGTTGTGTATGTACTTCATCTGGTCGTAGGGCAGAAACAATGAACTTTTCCCTGGTGTCGATGGCCTACGTGATCTCCACAGTAGTAATGCAGGATGGTCCCTCTGCAACTTGAGTCAGTCATTATTTGATCCATGGCTCGTGGCAATCATGTCCTGTCCTTCCAATATTAATGGATCCATCAGCTCTCTCTCTCTCTCTCTCTCTCTCTCTCTCCAATAACTCAATAGTAAACAATGAAAATGATCAGAAGAGAATAAATACTTGCATAAGGAAACTAAAAAGAAGTGAAAGATGCAAAGGAATTGCACTCTGTGATCAATCAATGCTTCCCCGCACCATTATGTCTCTGTGTTAGTTCCCTGTAAAACCAATCTATAATCGTACATTTCTATGTCTTTGCTGTGCTGTTTCCCCATGATTATAAGGTGAAGAAATAAAGAAAGCTACGCTGGTTAGAGATGATGAGCCTTTTGTTTGTTGTTGGTTTCTGACGCTTACTACTTCCATGATTTGTTCTTGATGACTGTCTTCTGAAGCTAGCCTTGTTAGCCACCGAGGTCGCCGGCCGAGAACCGGGTCTTCTCTGATGCGTTGCCGCCGGCGTGCTGTAGGCCTAGAGTGAGCGACACGTCGCCGGTGGCGCCGAGCCTCACCGGCTGGATGAGGATGCCCTCGCCGCCGCCGCCGCCACTTGACTGGCCGTGGGGCCTGACCGCTGCGTCCGGTGGCGGAATCCCCGGTGTGGTGCCGAAGTGGCGGTGCGAAGATGAACTTGCGGAGGTGCCGCCTTCCTGTTGTGGCGGTTGTGAAGACTGTGCATGGCTAGCTTCGCCCTTCACGCTTTGTCCTGCCTCCCCTTCGAACTCCTGCTGGTACATCTCCTCCACCATGGGCTTCCACAGCCTGACCCTGGCGTTGATAAACCAGTTGGAGACCTGGAATACATATCGTAATTAGATAGATGACGTCCAATTATACGCATGATCACGTACTGGATTACGTGATCTCCATGTTGCCATTTGCTCTATGTTCTGTTGCATCAAATGGTATCATGTGGGTGGTGTTCAGTGAGGGCATGGATCATCAGGAAGCTGGAATTTAGCATACAAGAGAGACATGAACAGTGAAGCTTCATTACTGATCATGGATTCCCAGGAAGCTGATGAATCTTTTATGGTCGAGGAGGGGAAGGAAGACAGACCTGGTTCCTGGATAAACCTGTCTGCCGTGACAACAAGAGCTTGTCTGCATCACTTGGGTACCTGAGAACATAAGAAAGATGGTGGAAATACATCAGTACTGACCAAAACACACACAGATCAGCACTGTCAATCACTCATGAACCACCAACAATTTCATTTCTTTTCTTCTTTGAAAAAGAGAAAGCACAAGAGATACTAAAAGCTACAGTAAAGTCGACAGGGTACACTTGCAGTGGTATCCAAAGGATGGGACAAAGAGACGAGATTTCGATCAGCTTTTTCTCGTGGTAGAGAGTAAAAGGTTATGCAGTGCAGAACTACTGATTAAAGTAAAGCCTAATCATTTGGTTAAAGCAAAATGCTGATCATTGTATGATATGCATGCAGAGAGAGGAGGAGCCTAATCATTTGGTTAAAGCAAAATGTTGATCATTGTATAATATGCATGCAGAGAGAGGAGGAGGAGGACGTACGGGTGAAGGAAGTGCTCGAAGAGCCAAGCTCTCAAAATGTTCACGGAGCGCTCCGGTAAGCCGCGTTGTGGCCTCCATGCTTCCTGATCCATCATCCCTATCTGGTGGAACGCGCGCTGCTGCCGCAGGCTCTGGTCGAGCAGCCGGAGCCTCGGCGTCTCTCCCTTGGTGATGCCGGGGTTGCTCGCGACTTCCTTCTCTCCGAGGGTTTCGCATGTCTGCTTCAGCTGCGCGGCAATCGCGTCCTTGAGGCACCGGAAGTGGCGTGACATGGCCTTCTGAGCCAGAGCTGTGTACGGCGCCGCAGCTCCGAAGCCCACGACGGAATCAAAGGAGTTCACCACCACCTGCATCTGGTCGCAGTAATGAGTGTATCTTCTGTCCACCTGCCATATTACAAGGCCGAAACCACCATGTCTCGTCAATGACTTCCTCCTCCGGTGTAGCTTTTATCCGGAGTGAAAACTATATCATTGAAGATTATAGACAGATAAAAAAAGGTGGATCTGAAAAATGACAACTGCCAAAATCTAGTACAATAATTTATTCTCCCTTTTATGTCATTTGGTTGATACAGATAGATGGGCAAGAGAAAGGAGATGAGAGAGAGAGAGAGAGGAGACTGCTAGCTCCTTTTCTTCTAGAGTGCAAGAGGAGCACAGGATTGGTGATCAGATCCAACATAAGTGGAAATCAATCATATGTTTTCTGCATGTGGGCGTCGTCTCACTGGACTAAACAGTTTCCATGCTTCCCATGAAGGAAAGGTGAGAAAGGTGAGGGAGAAATAAATATAACGTCAGGACTGCCAAAACAGTAAGATCTTTGGTGATCAAAGATGCAGAAGAAATGTAGGGTTGGACATGACGACAGTGCACCCACCGATGGAAGAGGTAAAGGCATTCGCACAGCAATGTAATGACTGCATGCTGAGTTGAGAAGAATAATGTTCATCTCCCAGGTCAACTCCCAAGAATCAATTTAGGATATATTGTGCTTCTACGATGGGCTGATCTCTTGCAACAACACAAACTAGTGATGTGTGCTGCAGGTAAAGAGGGATATTTCTAACTAGAAACATTAACCCTAGCAGTGATCTACTCAACTTCCTGGCAATTGAGTTTTACCTGAAGTACAACAAACACTATATAGGCAAGTGTCGTTAGATATGACCGTATTGAACACACCCTACCCACTGGTGAAGAGTAGTTTTTTTGTGGGATCTACCGAGCACAGAAAGAATCTGGTGGGTCTAGAGAGAGAAGGCTTCATAAGAGTAAAACAAGAGCTAGAAATAATGAGTCGGAGAAGTAGATTAGTACATGCCTCGTCAAGCATGGAGATAAGCTTGGCCTTCCTCCTCTGGTACTCAAACTTATCAGCGGAAGACAAGGGAGTGGTGTCCAATTTGGGAGATGAAGAACATGCAGCAGCAGCTGAACTGGAACCACCGCCGCCGCTAGGATTTGCGTTGGGGTTGGAGGAGCCGCCTCGTTTCCGGCCGAGCTTGGTCCCCGTCAGTTGTCCCCGCCCCACGCTGCAGAACTCCTCCAGGAGCTCCTGCGCCGCCCTCGCGTACTTGGAGTTCCTCAGCACGCTGATCGCGTCGATGGCGCCGTAGCCCATGTGGACCTGCCCGTCGTGACCGTGACCTTGCGAGTGTAATGCTGGATGCAGCTTCGGCTGCTGCTGGTTGAAGTACAACACCCCTTCCCTCACTCGTAGCTCATCGGCTTTGGCCATATCGAATTGCTGCAGAGATGAGGACAGCGACAAAGATAGACCTCGTCCTTCCACCACTCCCCCACCGAACGACGCCTCTCCAAATGATCGGAAGGCTTGACGATGGTGGTCGGGGAGTGTGGGAGGAGGAGCTTGTGAAGGTGATGATGGAGACCTCGGAGGACGCAGCTCCGGAGGTGGTGGCGTCGGTTGTGGCGGATTCGTTAGAAAGAGCTGCATCGCAGCAGCTGAGTCGTCGTTCAAGCCCATCATCGGGTGTTGTTGGGCGTCGTCCCGGTGATGCTTCGACGTCGACTCGCCAATTGAGCTCAAACTCCCAGAAGCTCCAAAGAATCCTCCATGACGGGCTCCGTACCACTCGCCGGAGAAGCCGCCCATGGCTGCTGCACTCTGCGGGAGGCGGTAGCCGCCGGATATCTGGCTAGCGAGAAGCTCGGTGGCCGAAGGTCCGGCCGCCCCGAAACCGAACATGTCCGACAGCATGTTGCTGGCTCCGACGGCAGGCGGCTCGTAGATGCCGGCCTCCTCGCCGGCCCCATCGATGGGAACGAGCGGGTTGCCTGCCGCGTCGAACCCCTGCACCCTCAGCTTATCCCTCCGGCTTTGCTGGGCGACGTGGTGCTGCTGCTGTTGGCTCGTCGGCCGGTCGAACCCATCGGAGAAGCTGAAGATGCTGTGGTGGAACCCTTGGGACATAGACGTGGGAGGAGAAATATGCCCGGGGTGGGCACTCGAGGCGGACTTCGGCAGGCAGAGGAAGGCACAGGCGGGCTGAGACGGCTGCGTCGTTATCCCCATGCCGGTGTCTCTTTCTTCTTCATGGTGGAAGCTCGATTCACCTCACGACAGCTGCACATAGCAGACACAAATCTGGATAAATTTGGAGAATTTGTCTCATGAATCAATCACAGATCACGAAAAGGAAGAAAGGAAGGAAGGAATTCACAGACAGGCTTTGCCATCCATCCTTCTTGTAGAGGCAGAGATTCGTTACCCGCAGTTTGTCGTTGGGTGGAGAGTGGAGATGAGGGCTTCAGACACAAAAGGCATCCGTGTCTTCCTCTGCGACTGAAAGCTTCTCCCACAGCTCTTCCATCTCTGTCTCCCTCCTCTCTCTTTCTTCAGCTCTCTGTCTTCCCCACCCTTCCCTCCTGAAAGAGAAGGAGGGTTAAAGAAATGGAACGGAGGCAGACAGCAGATAGACACAAGATAGAAGGTCGCTGTTCTCCTCCTTCTCTATACACAGTTCCTTATCTTTTCCTCTTCCTACATAAACACCAGTAGTTGAAGAAATAAGAAATAAGAAAAAGGGTTAGAAACGAAAAAAAGGTCTTCTCGTTTCTTCTTCTCCCACTTGACTCCACCTCCAAAACGATAAATGACCACATGAGCCCTCTCCTTTATTAGAACACCCGAGGTGGTTGGCTGCTGCTCTCCTCTCCTTTCTTTTATGGTGCTGTGACTGCAGCCATGAACGCTCCTTCCTCCTTTTCTCTTCTCTTTATTGTGCAGTGGCCATGTCGATTAGAGGAAGGGAGGGCAGTTATGCGATTTGAGCACCAAGATAAGGTGGTGTGAGTCCCAGCCATAAAGGGGGTTTGGCATGGAGCCCAAAAGACGACTCGATCTTGATCGAAGCTGTGGTGCCGTCCGATCGAGGTGGTCCTCGCCAGGTAGTAGTGTGTCGGTCGCGGGACCAAATATGTTCGGCCATGGTGATTCGGACATTGCATCGGGTCACGAACGCCTGTCTTCCTACATCGATCACGACTCGGTCGTGTCAGCGTGCACCTGCAAGTCTCCGGTCAGCCTAATCGTCGAACGGGTCATGTGCAGCCAAATCGCATGCGACTAACATGCGTTCCGAGCCTAATCCCTTGGAAATTAATCGCAGAGATCAAATTGGAAGCCAGCATTAATAATAATGTCTTGAAGCAATCATAACATCAAATATTAAGAGCTTAATCGGAGCCCTAACCGTGGTTACCTCCTTAATCCGGCATGTGAGAGGGTGGGGGAGGTGGGAGATGGTAACATCCAACCGCTTGGATGTGGATGCATTCCATATATTTGTGCAGGTGTTTCACACCATAATTAAGTTCATCTACAATTTTTGTATTTTCTTTCTTTGGTACTTATCATTTTTGATGGATTTAACTTTTTGATACAACGGAAAAATTGATCCTCTGTGATCAGAGAAATCTTGATTCGAGTATTATTTGTTCATGTCCGTGGATTAAATTATATGTATAACGATTAAATCTCTCTCTCTCTCTCTCTCTCTCTCTCTCACTCACTCGTCTTTTTGGTGTATTCCTAATCTAAACACAACAATTAAACCCAAAAGAGGACCACCACAGCACTACCTCAATTTCCCACCCCCCATCACCATGATCACATCTTCCTCCCTCTAAAGCATCACATAGATCACATGCCAAAGGAACACTAATATGGACCCTCAAAAGCCCTTTTTTTTTTTGCCCCTTGTCCGGCCGGGCTCACCTCTCCTGTTAAAATTTGATTGGTGGCAATAGTGGAGATGATTGTGTGGAGGGACCAAAATCACTAGCAATTGGCTTTACCGGCGTCCCTTTTTGTTGGGTTGTTATCTTCTCATTTAATTCTTGCAAGAAATCTTCCTTCATCAATTAATTATAAAATCGCTTCGCGATCAGTGTGATAAGAACTATGTGATGGAGAATAGTAGTAAGATTATATGGATTATTTTATAATCCAAGTATTTTTTTTTAATTAAGAAAAAAAGATAAATCTAAAAATAATAAAAGAAAAGAATCATAGTTTTTAGTGTGATCTTAGGATATGTGACTGTTCTCCTCCTAGCTAGCCTAAGGTCTAAGTGCAATGTTTTTTCCATCGACAAAAAAAACAGAAAAAGTTTATTGGAAAACCAACCATATTCACACAATAGAGGAAGAGTCTGAGATGTGATCTTGCAAGATGCTACCTATAAATGACCATATATATTACTAACAAATCGATTATATTTGCTTAAAGGTGATCTTTCGCAATCAAGTCTCATGCAACCCCATCTGATTGTACTATAAAGTCAAAGCAAAGGAGTGTACTCAAATAGCCAATTTAATTACACCATTAACTAAATTACATGCCTTTTAGTTACATGTCATTACAAAGGTGCCACATGTTTATTGACTCTAACCTCTTAATTTATCTTATCTTATGAAAAGTAATTTAATTAATTGGGTTATGCAAATTAGATGTTTGCCACTCTTTACTGCTTGTTGGTATTTGGATGGTGATTTAGAACAATGTCAGGGAGTAATGGGGAATGCCAATGTAAAGCTTGTGGTGGGATCCAAATGTTTTGGACCCATATGAGGTGCATTCATTTAAAAGGTCTACGTCAAGGTACAATGTGATCTCCAATCACACCCATCCAACACTCCACAACAACAACAATTGGATGCCCAATTAATTGTTGATTGACAAACCACCATCAACATTAAAATTGTTACTTCGAACAACAATTCATTTTTTTTCTTTTTTGGCATTCTAGAAATGGGTGACTAATTACGGAGGATGACATGCCAACGTTAGCCCAGTCAAGATGGTGACATCTCATCCTTTGGGACAATCACATTAAAAATGTATGCATATCCGGATTTTTTTTTTAATCTTATGAGGTCATCTATAAATCAAAATCTTCTGAGGTCAATTGCAAAGACTTTATTACAATCAGGTTGTGTCATTGATGAGTTGATGCTGACATGATGCATACGTCTATTTTTCTTGTAGATGCATGATTCAACAAATTAGGGTTGCAAAAGGATTTTGCAATGAGAAGAGAGATATTTACTTATATTCTTGAGTCTCCTTTATGCTTAAAGCATTATATAAACTATTTATTTATAGAGGAGTGAATTTAAGACACCAACTACAACTATGATAAGGATTTTCTATCATGAATAAGACTCATAAATAAAAATCTTATATAATCATAAATTTTAATTTAATATTTTATTATTTTTATTTAAATTAAATTTTATAAAAAAAATATTATGAAAAACCTTGAACCTTGATGCAATCTCCTTTTATTCTGTGTAGTATTTTTTGAAATATCTAAACTCTTAGTCACACAATCTATTTATATGCTCGTCTATCTTATCTATCCTGATGAATAGTAAATTTTTGATTTGTTTGAAATCAATTTTGTTAGATTTCTTAAACCAATCTTCATGCACCTAAATAATCTAATCAACATAATCATATATCTAATTTCTTTATCATTGATTATTTGTTAGTATGTCTTTATAGCTTCTAGATCTTAAATAATGATGATCTTCATATTAGAGTAGCAACATTTTCTTCTGACTCTTTAGTTATTGACTCTGTAAATTCTTCTTTTATATAGGAAGATAAAATATCTATTCATAGTACCTATATGGCAATCTAATTCTTACTTTTGTATGATCTTAACGTCTTCAATCTGAGTGAAAATATTATTAGGGAAATCTGCCATATCTAATGAGGTCGTCTCCTTTTTCTTTTTCTATTGAGATATCTTTACTTTCTTATAGTTTTGTATTATATATATATATATATATATATATATATATATATATATATATTTGCTTTGAGATGATGTAGGAGGATATATACCTTTTTCATAAGAATCTTCTAAGATGGATCAAGCTTCTCTTCTTATCTAGCTATAGAGCTATAGATATTCCTGAAACAATGCTTTCATCTTATAATAATTGAAAGGTAAGCTTCAGTGCTCTTTTATTTTCTTCTTTGTTAAAAACTAATTCTTTTTTCTCATCTTAAGAGAGAAACTTAATATCTTTATGGTTTCTAACAATCAATTATTATTTTTAAGCCCTCCTACTCGAGAAAAGTTTTTATCATAACTTTTCATCTCCCTTAATGTTTTTCATCAAATCTAGATAATAATAAGATCCAAAATAATTCATCATCAATTTATTAATCTTTCTCTATCAACTAATCAACATCGCATTGATCTTTTCTATAGATTATCTTTCTTTTACTACAATCTATTAATTATTTTCTTAATCTTAGTATGTTATCTTATTTGATTAATTGTCATAGTTAGATCGACTCGTCGTGGGTGTTGTGAGTTTTTCTTCTCACTACAAGATTTTCTCACTTCTTCCATTTTTATCTCCATAGTTATTTTCTCCTTGGATTTTCTCTCTCTATAGTTTCTCTCAATTTCTCTCTATTATTATTTTTATCTATCTCTTCAAGAGCCTACTTTTCTTGCTTATCAAACCCGCTTTGATACTATGTTAGAAAATCTCTTGAGAAGGATGATGAGCATCAACAAATTATATAAGAGAAACAATAGAGAATATAGAAACTTCAAAAATTAAAAATTCTTATCAAAGATGAAAACTTATAATCTATCAGTTCCTCCATCTTGAACTTTCTTTAGATCTTTATCTCTCATCCTGATTATGTATACTTAAAAGTATTAAATAAGTCTTTTATTTATAGAAGGGTGGACTTAAGACTTTGACTCTAACAATGACAGGGAACTCCAATCTTGACTTAGTCTCCTAAATAAAAATTCTATCTAATCATAAATTTTAATTTAATATTCCAACAAAGAAAAATAAAAAAGTATTATTATTTTCATGGATTTCTACACAAGTTAATTTATGGAGCAATAATATTTTGATTATGACAGATGAGGTGTAACCGTAATATATGATTGATTGAATAAGGAATTATGTTTCAAAGTAGTGATAAAATGAAGAAAAATGGATATTATGATTAAACGAAATTGTGGCAATTAATGGTAAAAAGATAGATAAAAAGAGATAAAATTATACTAAAAACTATAAATAAAGATTTAATCGATGAAGTTCTGCTCTCTCTCTCTCTCTCTCGCATGTGGCAATGACCATGGCCGCGGCTGCTGCCGTCATGATCGTCTTCCGGTTGTCGCTGTCGCCGGGGTCTGCAGCCACATGAACTGCGTCTGCTTCATCTCTTGTGAGGTTGCTGCACCTCCGGGGACCATGCAGGTGGAACAAACAAGGCAATCGCCATTAGTTCAGCTGTCTCGTTCATGGCCTACAGACGCACACATCACTGCCTGTCACTACTTTCTTGGCCTCACAAGAAGGCAAAGGCAACACCACCAGCACCAGCTACTTGCCATTCATCAGTTGTTGGCAGCTCACACTGTCCCTACCTTGAATCATAAGAACACACACCACCCTTTGCATCTCTGCCTCTTTTCTGAACTCATATCACTCACCTCCGACAAGTGTTTGACATCATAAAAAACGATCTCCCTTCTCCTCTACTAGTCTAACACAAACCCTCAGTATTTCCTCTTGCGTGAGGCCAGAATTGTCCACTGAATCAGTCCAAGATTCTTTGCTTCTTTCTTATGGTAAGCAATCAGGGCTCTTGTGTGACAACTTAGAATCAAGTGCTTGTTTGCTTGTAAGCATAACATTCCAGTACACCAAGAGGTATACTCGATGTACGTAAAATGTGGTTTTTACTTGGTTCCTAAGGCTTGTGACTTCCCTCCTCACCAAACCTCGCCTCCTTGATTCACCCTACTCTCTCTCCTACCATTGATTGAGACATCCTTGTTGTTTAATGCCCAATCCATGGAATAGTCAAGATTAGGCGATTTGTTTAAGTGTCAAAGGTGCCAAACATATCATATGAAAGACTTGGGATGTATTCTAGGCTATGTCAGCCATCTATTTCAAAGAGAGAAATTTTCTACTTGCCTTGGTGACATCAAAAGCTTCTTTTTATATCTTTTGGAAGCATTCATCAGATCATTTAGTAAGGTTAATCTATCTTCATTTTCATTTTGATCATTTAGATTCTTATATATTAGGAAACATTCCAACAATATTACTGATATTAAACTACAAAGATTTACACATTTACCATCTAAAAGCTTAAACGTTATCTATGGTCTTAACAAAGAAATCAAGATCTTTCATCTTTACTTCTTCTTGCAGCTAAACATCCACGCGTTATGTCCATTTTTTTAATGTGATACAGTAGTAGTATGGATGACAAAGCACTGCCAATGATCAAAAGCCTTTCCATGCCACTAATCTATCTGCCACCTTCAGAATAGAAGACAACTAGTTATCACCTCCGCCAAGCTTTTTCACTTGGTAAAGTGAGCCCAAAGAATATGAGAGGAAAATGACTTTGAATCTGTATGTATATATATAGCTCATTCAGTGAATCTTAGTCTAATTGGTGTTGGTGATGAACAGTTTCGATCTTGTTTTCTATGGATAAAAGTCTCAATCAGAAGCTTTCATCCCACAAAAATTGAGGACTGCATGATTGATTAGTGGTTTCAACTTTAGCGCTTTATCTAAAGTCATATCTCGCCCATTTGCCCCTCCTGTCATGGGTCTACTGCACTTGATGTCATACAACACTTGAGAAGGAGAAGGGCAGGTCCATCAATGGCTGTGGTGACACCAACACCCAACTAATCATTGGGTGACTTGAAAGGCAGGTGCACTGTGATGCATGACAGGTAAGATCACATGCAATGTACTTGCATGAATGAATCACTGAGTTGAGAGGAGGTGAAAGTTTCTGAACTCATGCAGATGAGGTCTCCAATTTGGTAGATCTACAAGCTCAATAGTAAACATTACTTATTCCAGACTGTATATGTAATTCTAGTCTTAATCATCAACTGCTTTATCTCACTGGGGTTTACACTCTAAAATTGACATGTAGCAGTGTCCTTCCTAGCTAGTTAGTCACTTTCTTCCCAGAGTACCTCAAAGAGTCGAGCAACATTCTTCTGATGGATGGCCCCCTACTACCTGGTATGCTTGGTGGATTCATCAGCCCCACCCCTCTCCTTTTCATAGCCTATGGTAAGAAAAGTGAAACAAAAGGAATAGTGGGGGTAAGAAAAGGAGAAAGAGAGAGAGAGAGAGAGAGATGAAGAATGTTCATTGGTGCAGCCAGAACTTTCATGCAATGGCTAGGTTGATAAAGACACTGGTTAATCCGTATATATTGAGTCTCACATCAAGTCCGAGGAGGATCAGGAGTGCCCTTACTAGCAAGGTCGGTTGCATCAACCTTTGGACAAGACATCTGCCATAAATGTGAAATGGTGCTGTTCGATGCTCATCTTTCAGATATCATCTTATCTTTGTCGATCTTCATGTCGTTTCTGTTCCCATGATTTTGAAAAGCCACCTACATAAATATACATCTTGTAGAACAAGCTAATTGAGTGAGGAAACACATTTAATTTTAATTTTATTTTTTTTAGGTTGCTTTAGTTCCTTTGTTAAATCTTCTCATTCCATGAGCTTGTAGGTGAAGAGATTGAATCAAATCAAACCTCAGGAGAGCAGATCTGTCAGTTGGTCCTCCATAAATATGTTAGGAGATGCCATTGCACTTTGAAGCAGGGTAGAGGAAAGCCCTTAATAGTCGTTTAAAGATGCTAAGACAACGACAGACAGTGATGTAACTCCAGCTTTCCACAGTGGAAGGGTAACTTGTCTTATGATTCTTGTCCTCCAACTCTTAATTCAGCTTTGGCACAAGGAAAGGTAATTTCAAGGGAACAATCTCTTTCAAGTTTCGAGCTTTTCCCTTGTGAAGAGTTTGGAAGTTGCCGATGGATGGAATCTTTAATTTTGGTAGGTGAGGTAGGTCTGATCTTTTCTCCACAGACGCAATAAAAATTGCAGCACAGTGGCCTAATCTTGCAATGTCAATTTGTTTTGAAATACATCGTTGTGACTTCTAAAAGAAATCATATTCACGTGTGATATGAGGATTGAGAGAGGACTAAAAATAGTAACACACTATAAAAGAATTGATAGAATCGGATAACATTTTTAGACTTTTGGGTTGCATTTGTACTGATGCTCATTAAATTCTTAATAACTTGAGTCAGTATCATCATCACCCTCTTCTTCTTATATTAGAAAGGTGGAGGGGAAATAGGAGTTCTATGGATAAGCTGTTAAACCAACATTCACATTTTAGTTTGCATCTGTTGAGTAAATATGTTTAATTTGCATAGGTTCCTCAATCGAAATCTTTACAGATGATAGCTGTCTTCGTAAAATCCCATAAATTTAGCATGGATTATGAATTTTTGTATAACAACACTGCATAACTTTAAATCAAAGGACTTGTTTGCATGGCACTTTATTGGGTTATTCATGGGCTACAAAAGGCCTCCAATAACATACACATCACATCTAAGTGTTGTTACTGGAGACCCATTCATAAAACTTTGGTCCTTTATTTTTTGTCATGATATGCATCTTTAGTTACAATCTTGTATCTTATTTATTTTGCATTTGGATCAAACTAGATCAATTCCTAAATATATATATATGTAGACACACTCGTTCACAGACGTACACTCCACAATTCATACTATTAGTACTGTTCTCTCTCTCTCTAGCAACCACACCCACCTTCAACCCAACGCCAACCCCACGAAAGATGGCGAAGTATCTCGCAATGGCTTCTTGCTCCGAGAAGCAGAAGGCCTGCGTCGGATGGATCAACAAGTACTTCGACGATTGCGTCTGCAACTTGAGCGGCGAGATATCGTTTGGGCTGGGCATGATCAGTCTCTTCTGCTGGGGAATGGCGGAGATCCCTCAGCTCATCACCAACTTCCAAACCAAGTCCGGCCATGGAGTCTCGCTCGCCCTGCTCCTTACTTGGGTCATCGGGTGAGTTCATGTGCAGCAGGTGAGTTCATTACTGACGGACTTGAGGTGAATACTTGCTGTAAGCCTCTTTTTCTCTCCGCAGTGACGTCTTCAACTTGGTCGGTTGCCTTCTCGAACCAGTAACGGTGAGCCTGTTTAGGTTTCAGTCAGCCAGAGCTCGTTCATCTTACTTGGTGTTATCTTGCTAACTGTGGTGTGCATGGTGTTGCAGTTGCCTACCCAGTTCTACACGGCTCTGGTAAGCCATTCTGGTGGAGTGCTCTGATCTCATCAACTTCATGCAACTTAGGCGTACACCTTACATGATAATGGACCAGCTGTACACGTCCACTACCGTGGTGTTGGTGCTGCAGACGCTGTACTACGACTACGGGCTCCGATGGTGGAAGAGCATTTGCTTTGATGCACCCCTAGAAGTAAGTAATCACAAGCCCTTCTTCTATCTACTGTGGATGTTCTTATCGCACCGCTGACCTTCGTATAAGCTCATTCTTCAGGAGGAAGATAACGGGCAACCTCTGAATCCAAAGGTAGAGGATCTGAGCCGTCCCATACCCACCACTGCCGTAGCTAACGCATCACGACGCACCGATGTATACTACACGTATGTGCACATGTATCTCTCGATCAACACAACATGAATGCATGCATGGTTCTCTGAGCTGATCGGGTCGTCGTCAATCATTCACAGGTCAGCGAGGTCATTGGCCAGCAGCGGGACACCGTCGTGTGGGGGAACGTCTTATCTCGGGGTCCGGAGTGGTCCATCGGAGGGCTTGGCCTTCCATGATTCCTCCTCTGAGGACGAGGGCTCGCCAGCTCATCACCACGGGGCCGCTGCAAGGAAGAAGACGACATTCTCACGTTCAGTAAGTACTACGTGCTTATGTGTGTGGATAACGTTCTCATCCGGTTAATAGGGGAAGTGAAGCTGATCTCCTGCTGTCTGGATAAGGATAAGAAGGGGTTGATCGTGGAGGTCCCATGGATCACACCAGCCTCTGTCATTTGCGACAACTGTCCTTAGTTCTCTCTTGGAAAGGCACATATGAGGATAAGCTAACATTCCGACAGCTGAGTGGAGCTAATTGCGATAGTTAGAACCCTACTTGAGAAGATTGAAAAACAGGTTTTAACTTATGGATCTGCATAACTTTGCAATCTTAATTTCTTTTGACATGTTAAACATTATTCCACCTCCATTGATGAAGTAGATGAACTGCTTATCCATTACCTTCTCCTCTTCCTGGTAGTCAACATCTTTTATCGTGCTGTTTCTCCTTTTATCTTGCTTAACCTTTTAGATCGTGATGGCGTCAAAGAGATTCCAAGAAGTAGCAGTGAGTCCATTAACAAGATAAAGCGGCTAATTATATTGTTTTTACACTAATATAATCAAGCACTGCATAATGCACGCATGAATGAGCTTCTTTTGGCAGGTTAGCTATGGAACATTTGTTGCAGGCTTTATCGGATTACCATATCAAACTAAAGCTTTCAGAGAAATGACCATTATATCATCTGAAAGAAGAACGTTGCAGGTATATATACCAGCAAAAAGCATATAATTACAACATTCATCCTAATTCTTCCTTTTTAATACTGCAGGATTCAGAGGTTAAGTCATTAGAAGGCAACTTTTATGGCCTTCTATTAGGTTGGATTATGGCCGCCATTTATATGGGAGGTCGTTTACCTCAAATATATCTTAATGTGAGTAATTTCACTCAACAGTAATACTAATAATTATTATTGTTATGATTGCTGATTGGAGTTCATGTATGCATGTGAAACAGATGAAGCGTGGAAGCGTCGAGGTAATTAATTAGAGTTATCAATCTTTGTTCTTAATTAGCATGTTAATTAGGTGGAGTTAGAATAACTTGTGTGGTCACTTGGATGCATGTTTTGGTAGGGATTAAACCCTCTGATGTTCATGTTTGCACTCGCTGCAAATGCAACCTACGTGGGAAGGTTATCTCTAATCTTAATCATCATCAAACAAAGCAACCTATGGTAAGTAAGCTCTCGAATGGAAATCTTTGGTGTTGCAGCATACTCGTGAGAAGTGTCGAGTGGGAAAAAGTGGGACCTAATGCACCATGGCTGCTGGATGCCATAGTCTGCATTCTTCTGGACTTACTTGTATCCTTCTCTTCCTGCTTCATTATAAGTTCTTGGACGGCAACGTACTTTGTCTCTGCATGCAAACCCTAACACGTATGCCAAACAGATCATGTTGCAGTTTGCCTACTACAAGTTTCTACGAGGAAGAGATGCGTGCACAGAAGATGAACATGAAGGCTTCACACATGAGAGAAGAAAAATCCTTGTCTGAATCCATTTGTGGAAACAAACACTGTTCTACGTTGTTGTTTTTGTTGTCAGTGTGTGACGGATGAGTAACCTTATTGTCTAAGCACTTTGTTTTATGGTGGAAGCCATCTATCTTTATTAGGGCCTCCCTTTTTTCTTTCCTTCACATTGCTAGTGTAATAATGCAATCCGATTAATCTCCTTCTTAAATTTGGCTCGAATATTTATTTTTCTATATATTAATTGCACTAAAAAAATTATAGGAATTTAGCTTTTCTTGAGATGTACTTCTTTAGATTTTCCAAAGACCATCCCATATATATATTTCATAATTCTTGAAATATCTCTTGTCAAAGACAACCGTAAGCCTAACGGATCGATCGATAGGTGAACTTTCTTGATAATAGTATTTTTGAATAGGTTTAATATTTTTCAAAACACTGTAAGCCTATTCAAAAATTTTAAAGTTTATATAAAAAATTATTCTATTTGGTTATTTTATTTAAAATCTTATTTTTGCATATGAATTTATATTTATTAGATTTTGAGTCTCTTTTGCTTATGTCTTCTCAAATATACTTAATAGTATTTTGGTTGAGGTGTCAAAAATATTATAAATCCTAACACTACTGTGGTATGCATGATGGACTGGATCGGTCCATAGCATACATAGCATGGTGATAACATACTTGCTCTAGTAGTCTTCTTAGAGATATTTTTAAGATCATGATAAATAAGAACGTTTTTTGGGGAAAAAAAAAGAAAATAGGATCCAATGAATTCGCTCAAAAATATAAAAAGATAAGGGATTTATATACAAAATCGAAGAGTAGATGCAACGAATCCAAAGCGAATATATCGTTCGCGATTCCTTTGTACAAACCCGATCTCGAATGAACAGAACCATCTTCTCGTTTTAATCCTTTCTCGTCGCGTTGTCCGTGTCTTGTGCGACGTCAACGTGGCGATCGTTCCCAACATCGTCTGTTTCTTCTATAATTAGACTCCTGGATCTGTCGTTCCTCGGGTTAAAGCCTCAAAACCGAGAGCTTTGTTCCTTCTCCTCCTCCTCGTGGTGTCTGGGTTTCCGGCAATGGCGGCAGAGGGCGGAGAGTTGCCGCCGACCGGGTCCATTCCCAGAGGGAAGGAGGGGAAGGGGCGGCCGCTGTGGAGGAAAGTGAAGTACCAGCTGGTGGAGTACCATTCTCTGCCCGGCTACCTCAAGGACAATGAGTACATACTAGGGTATTACCGCGCCGAGTGGCCGCTGAAGCAAATCTTCCTCAGCATTTTTACCATCCACAACGAGACGCTCAATGTCTGGACGTAAGACTTTCCCCGATGATTCATTCCATAAAGATCTGATCTTTTCTTCCTCTCTGTCTTCGTCTCTCGTTCAATTTTGGTCGTATAGAAACAATACACTCATGCCTGAAGGTATTTTTGGTGCCATTGATCACAAACATGGAATGTGGAATAGAATTCGACTTCGTTCTGATCCTGTCTCACACAGATGATGTGTAATTTGAAGAAAAGATAGTTTGGAGTTATGAAGGTCGTATTGATTGATTATTCGGTAGCAGATTAAAGCTCTCATTATTGATTCTGGACTTCCTTGAGAAACGAGTTTATCGATATTAATTCTGTCTGCGTTTGGTCAAATCATGCGAAGAGAAATTGATTAACATTGGTGAAAAGTAGCAGCACCTAACGATTTGGGTTTTATCCCAATTGATGTGATGCTATTTCGGGGTCAACTTCGTGAATCAAGTGACGTTGGCGTTTAATATAAATTGGACATTTTCCTGGTATCTTAAGCTTTCGTGATTGATAATTATCCAATCGAAATATTTCTCTATTTTCGAACAACTGGTTGCTACATTAAGAGGGAATTTTGCAATTCTTTTTGTGGATTGTATTTCTGTTTGCTTATAGTGAAGGATTTTGCAATATGAACTGTAATTTTACTCTCGATCGACATTATAGGTTTGTTTTGGTGGTGCCTTTTTTACAATTTCTGTTCAAGAAAATAAAGGTAATAGATTCAGTCAACTTTTATTTCAAAGAAATTCCTCCATAAGAATGATCTGAATTCTTAATCTTGAAAAAGAGAGAAAAAAAAACTACATTGTTATGAAAGCCTCATTTTATAGCTGAACAAATGGTTGATTTGATATCTTGATGGTTCTATAATCCAAAATATAGCTTGACGAGACAAGCCATTAAATATATCTGGAGGTCAATATATGGTTTTGGCTATACAATGAATATTTGATCACTTTATGCTGTTGATTAAATTCATTTCGCTGCCTTCTGTTCCTTACTATTCTGTTTTGACACCTCGTGCATTAATGTTTCAGGCACTTGATTGGCTTCTTTCTTTTTCTTGCTCTGACCGTATACACCGCAATGAAAGTTCCGAAGGTTGTAGATCTTCAATCGCTGCAGCATTTGCCAGATGTACTGAAGAAAGCTGATCTGCAAAAGATTCAATCAGAACTTGTGGCCTGTCTTCCTTCACTGCCTCACCTATCTCATTTACAAAGATTAAAGAATGAAGTGAAGACATCCTTAGCTTCTCTGGACATGCTTCCATCTCTATCTCACCGGCACATACTGCAACTTCTCTCAAATTGTCTGCCTCACAGATATGCGCATGCAAATTACAGTAATGTTTCAGTTCTGGTAAATTCTCACTTCATTATCTTGAATTTGCTCACAGTCCACTGGAAATAATGTTTGTATTGGACCTAATATTATTATTGACAAGAAAACTTGCAGAATGCGTTCTCCTCTTGCCACCATTGATAGTGAGCATCAGTGTGCTTCTTTTGCAAGGATAACAGTTGTACCATAGGCACTCATCTCACATCAAAACCTCTAGTCTTGATATCAACATGCCTGTCTTAGTAGCAGTTTTTGGTATATCATCAACATGCATTAATTATGCATGCATAAGTAGTTTTCTCTTCAACAATGTCTTGCACTAATCCAAAAGAAAATTTCTATGCGAATACTCACCATAGTTACATGATATGTTGAAAATGCAGTCAGCTATGAAGGATGATGTGGCTAACATGATAGCTCCACTGGTGGTACGACCAATTTCACGGTGGCCATTTTTCGCCTTCTTAGGTGGCGCAATGTTCTGCCTTCTTGCAAGCAGCACATGTCACCTTCTGTCGTGCCACTCCCGTCGCCTTGCGTACATCATGCTCCGCATTGACTATGCTGGGATTGCTGCCCTCATTTCCACATCGTTCTATCCCCCAGTGTACTACTCGTTCATGTGTAACCCATTCTTCTGCAATATCTACCTCGGCTTTATCACCACTCTTGGGATTGCCATGATCGCGGTGTCACTTTTTCCGGTGTTTCAGAGCCCCAAGTTTCGAGTTATAAGGGCAAGTCTGTTTTTCGGAATGGGGGTATCCGGGGTGATCCCTGTGTTGCACAAGTTGATTGTTTTCTGGCATCGGCCAGAGGCACTGCACACGACGGGCTATGAAATCTTGATGGGTCTGCTCTATGGCCTTGGTGCATTGGTGTATGCCACGCGAATTCCAGAACGATGGATGCCCGGAAAATTCGACATCGCCGGGCACAGTCACCAGCTCTTCCATGTGTTGGTCGTCGCTGGGGCTTACACGCATTACCATGCAGGGCTGGTGTATTTGAAGTGGAGAGATCTAGAAGGATGCTAGAATTGCCATACATGAGAAGAGCTCTGAAAACATCTGCAGCAGCATGGAGTTGAGCTCTGAACAGGTTTAAGCTTCTGAATAACCATGGCTACTGCTCATTCACCAACTAGAGGCTTTTGCCAACAGAGCAAATGTAATTGTAGCTTTTGCAAGGGAAATATGTGTTGAGAAGTGGATTTTGTTGTATAAGTTGCTTGTAATTCTATAAGCATGACTCCGGTAAATTGATTCAGATTGTGGTGTTTACTTGATCTCGTTCACTGTTTAGCAGTGCTCTATATCTATAGATCAAATAACTTTTGTTATTTTTATATAATTTTAAGAGGCTTTTTTCATTGTTATTTCTGATAGTCTTTCTTGGATGTTTCTCAGTTCCCATTTCAAGTTGAATTGGTGAGGTAGAGTATGAGTTGGAAATTATTCATTTACTAGGAATTAATTTTTATTTTTTTGGAATTAATTGTAGGAGTATTGAAATCTGTGCTATGAAAATTTGTGTAATCATAGAGTTGCAGAAGTGTAATCTAATCCGCTAATTTGCTCATTTCTGTTGGTTTGTTACTTTCCAGTAAATTGGATTCTAAGTTTATGAAATGTTTAATATATTGTATTCAGAATTACAGTGGAAAAGTATACATTTGTTTTATCAAAATCAATATAATATTATTTCCATATATTAATTTGCATTCCGAGTTTATCTGAGATGGTTCGACTCGACCCGCTTGTCAGATAGACCGAACCGGTTAAAATCGCTCGGTTCAATCAAACAAAAAAAGCGACTCGAACCGGGTGACATATATATGGTGGTCGGTTGGCCCGCTGGATTATACCTCCGTTCTTGATCTGGCGTGAAAGCGAGACAAAGAAGCAGTCGTCGATCGATTCCATCAGCGTTTCGCTCGCCCCGCCCACTGCTGATTCCGGGACGGAGCTCGGCATGTCATCGCCACCACTGAGCTGATGGTGACTCAAAGATGATTTTGCTATTCTTTCCCGTCTCTTCGACCCTTGATCGGTTGGCGTTCCTTCAAATTTCTCTCGTTGTGTTCGATTCGTGTACTGATCATCGCTAAATGTCTTCTCTTGTTCGGTATGTCAATCTCCCCAGCCCTAATTTTGGAATCGGGACCAAGTTGATGGGCCTCCACGTCCCGGTCCAAGAATTGAGCCGACCCAATTAACCGGATTCGATCATTCTATCTTGTAGCCCTAACAGGAGCCCTAGCTTGGTTCCTCTCCCCTCGTAGCCACCTCAGGCGATCGTCGAAGCAAGTCATTGTTACTCCCATCTCCGGGAGAACGAAAAAGGTGCGTTCTTTTCTTCTTCCCGAACTTTGCCCCAAACTATGGTTCTTGTTCCGTTCTCCTCTTTGATTTCTTCGACCTTTATATCACATTTGCTTGGCGTTCTTCTTTTTGATCTGCTAATTAGTTTGGAACGGAAACGTCGTTCCCTTCTCTCTATGGATGGATGTGCGAGAAACAAAACCATTTACCATAGAATTGCAGTAGTCTTAGGTTTAATCTTCTTCTATAGTATAATTTAGCTCCTGTTTCCCCTTCCTGCATAAATTAACCTATTCGACCTTCTTATCATTTTACAATGTTGCTTGAGGGGAATGAATACATATACAACTTCAGTAATCAGATGATTGAAGATAAGAGTGACGACAAGCAAATGGGAAAAATCTGAAATTTTATGGAAAAGAAAAAGACTTTTTTGATGTGTTTGTTTATTCTTGCTGCAAGATTGTGTTGTTGTTGTTGTTGTCGACGATGGCTTCTTTTTACTTCACAGTAGAAGTTAAAAAAGACAGATTTTAAAGTGAATTTGCTGAGCTTATCCTCAGGTGCTTCATCACAACCCAGACAGTGTCACCATCACAACCATGGAGCAAACACTTGCAGATGTTTCGGACATCTTCGATTCGGTGGTGTATCTGGATGAATCCCTGCGCCAAGAGGGTTTCGAGGATGGGTACAAGGATGGTTTGGTTTCTGGCAAGGAGGAGGGGAAAGAAGTGGGGTTGAAGATGGGTTTCCAAGTTGCGGAAGAGCTGGGCTTTTATCAGGGCTGCGTTGATGTGTGGAACTCAGTGATCCAAGTTGACTCAGGAGCATTCTCATCCAGGCTCCAGAAGAGTGTCCAACAACTAGGAGATCTGCTAAGGAAGTATCCACTGTTGGACCCTGAAAATGAGCAAGTTCAGGAGATGATGGATGGTATCAGACTAAAGTTCAGGATTATTTCGGCAAATATGGGTGTTAAGTTGGAATATAAAGGCTATACGAAATCGTCGGGGATGGAGGATATGTAGGTACTAAGCATATTATTTCCTAATACAAAGAATATTGATGGCTGGTGTCATGTTGATATTGCTTCTGTTTAATTGATGTTTGGAGATTGTGAACTAGTAGTTACCATTCTTTTTATAAGCATCAGGTGGATGATTGGATGTGACTTGTTCTATCCTGTCGATTGTGCCTGGGAGATCAACATTTAAATTAGGAATTTAAATATTACGAATGACAATTTATGATATAAAATATTGCGTATTCGCGCTGTTGGCATTTGATTTTCCCTACGACTACATATAATTCCCGGAATTTCCGGTTACAGGCAACCAAGTAATAGATTCTCTCCAATTCCAATTTTCAAGTATAATCTTCGGATCTCACATCTTGACCGTTATTACCCAGGCGGCCCGATCACCTCCTCGAAAGATGGTCCGTTCGATCCGATCAATCGCCATAATGGTTGCAGAGGATCCTAACCACGAACGGCGTGCGTGCCACCCGATCCCGCTTCCTCAGTCAAGAAAGCCGCCGCCACCGTCCGCCTCGTTAACGTGCCGTAAGTGGTGACACACGTCTCACGCACGCAAACGAAACGGCAACGGGAAGCGGGTGATGGTGACACGTCGTAGTCGTTCTTTCGTTGCGTCTCGTGCGGATCACGTGGTGCACGTGTTATTAGTAATACAGTTCTGGATGCTGGCGTCGGATAACCCGAGCCTGGTGAGATGATGCACATCTGATACTCGGAGACGCCTTCTGTCTCACTGCCGCCGTCATAACTGTGCTTTGATGAGGGAGCTGCTGACTCGTGCAACGTCATCCATGAATCACTTGGAAATTAATAGGACATAAAACTTCTTTCTTCATGCATCCATGTTACCGAAAATTAATAGAAATAGTTTCGTTGGGTTACGAGTTGCAGCGACTCCTATAATTAAATATATGTACTATATTTTTTTATTTTCTAACAATTAGTAATATGATGTCCTTGAATTGTAAGTGTTTTTTATTTATACACAATTATTATGTGCGTTCATCATAAGTGTGTACGATATGAAATCGTCGCAACTCTGATTTGGAGTAACTGAAGCTACCAAGTATAACATAAAAAAAAAGCAATTTATGCGACTAAAATTTCTCAAACTTAGTCTTTCTGATAGATTAGAACAAAATGATGTTCATGCTTTGTGTTCGGGCATTAACAACAAGAACGATCTCCTCAGCATCTCGACCGTTGGATTATTTGATCTGTTCCCTAGGATCACAATCTCAATGCACCTCAGGAACAGGACGTAGGTATAGCGTAGGATGACACAGCACAGGTAGACCGTCAAAACGATACTTTTTCGAGTCGTCAAACTTCCCCGGGAGGAGAGACGGACCTTCTGTGCGCGTCCCAGATAGTATCTGTCGCCTTCTGTGATGACCACACGAGTTTATCAGCGTGTAACGCCGAGACGGACGACTCACCTATTGGAGTTTGCTCGGCTTACCTGATAAAACAAAGGTGGGTCCCAACGTGGAGCCTAACTCTTCTGTCTAATCACCACGAGGGTGTAGCCCATTGGGGTGAGTACGGGGGCCGACAAAGGATGACGTCACTGCTGCCCCAAATAGCCGAGTCTATATATTTCGACTCCCCCTCCCTCGACGGTTTTACCAGCCGCTTCGCTTCCCTCCTCCCCTCCAAGTGCAGATGAAGAGCACAGGAAACGGGAAGGAGAACGCATCGCCGCCTCGGCCATCTCCGTCCTACACCGTGCCGCTTCGCATCATCCGCCAGCCCCTGGCCAAGCCGTGGCGGCGGCCCGTGCCGCCGCCGCCGCGAGTGTATCACGTGCATCCTCGAGGCTTCCGGCAGCTGGTCCAGAGCCTCACCGGCGCCCCGCGGCCGCGCTCTTCCGAGCCAGCGACCGAATCCGCGACGACGCCTTCGGCCCCTCTGATACCAGCGTCTCCTACGCTGCTCTCACCACCGACATTCGCTGCTCTTACCAGCGTCATGGAGGACAACAGCGCAAAGCTGGAGTTCGCATTGCCTTCGCCGTATCCGGAGGCGTACACAGCGTGGAATTCATCTCCCATCTGGGGAACGATGGTGGATGATGACGGCCATGTCTACTTCTAATTAGTAGCCTCCGTCTCGGCTCCTCTGTTCTTGGATCAATCAATCACTCAGACTAGACATGCCCGAAAATAAAAGCAGAGGAACAGAGAAGTGTGTTCTGTTCATGGGTTATGAGGATTATATATAATTACATAAAGAATAAAATATGGAAGAAAAATATAAATAGATGTCGATAGAAAACAAGAAAGCCGACAATTGTGAATTAAGTAATTATACGAAATATATCATATAATATTTGATCATAAACATGACGGTCTTTTTTTTAATTTAAGCTTTTGAGATGGTTTGTATCCCCAAAAATGAATATTTATTGATGTTCATACAATGTTCATCTCCCAGTTTGATTTGCAACATGCACTATTAAGTGCAATAGTCTTTTTCCGATATGCTTTGCTATGTATTTGAGTTTAATTTAATAGTTCTTTTTTTATTTGGTTTGCTATGTATTTTGAGTTTAGTTTCTTGGAGGTGAAAATGAGTGTAAGATTTCATTAAATATATCAGGTTTTTTCTTAATAGCTAAAACTTTTGGGATTACTAATATTCCATTTAAAATTATTAGTGTAATAAAAAATAATTGTTAAATTAACTAATTATTATAAGTTTAATATAAATGGGTATACATAGACATGATGACTCCTTAAGAGCTTAGGTTTATTTTGATCTACTACATAATTGTCCTTGTTCTTCACCTCGTTTTAACTTCTTAAGGGTGTTATGCTATATGCATTATCCTTACATAATCTATTGCGAGTGATTGCATATATATATATATATATATAATATTTTAAAAAAATTATTTAGTATCAATTATAAGATGTTTATTAGGCTTAGAAATAAATAGTAAAAATTTATTTCTCTTAACTTAGCTTAGTTGTTCGTGTCTAGACAAATGAATCATCTTTAATAATATCATTATTGTATTTAGGCTCAATTTGAGATAAAAATAAGCTTTATATAAATAATTAAAAAAAAAAAATTAAACACCTTTTCATATATCCCAATAATTGACTCATTAGAATAAGTTTCTACATACTTCTATTCCTTTGTTAAAGTTACTTTAGAGGAAGTAGATATATCAAAGTTATTTTTTAGAATAAGATCATTATTCAAATTTAATTTTTTAAATTTAAAATAATCATTATCAAAATTAATTTTCTTAATTAAGGAGATACATAAAAAAAACATAAATATATTTTATAACAAGCAAAAATATTTTGTTGAAAAATCTATAAGATTTAGAATTAAAAGAGTATTAAAGAAATACTTTCATCGGATTTAACATCAAAATTTTCTAAGGCATCATCAAAATTAATTTTCTTAATTGAGGAGATTCATAAAAACAACATGAATCGATTTTTTAATAACTAAAGATCTTTTGTTGAAATTTCTATAGACTTTAGAATAAAAAGAATATCTAATACCTTCATCAAATTTAGTATCAACTTTTTTAAGGCATCCTTATCATTCACAATAAAATACTTCTTATAAAAAATTTAAAATATCAAATATTGATTCTTTTGTTATTTGATAAGCTATGTTAACTACTCCAATATATAAATATTTGGGTAAGTAATGTTTATTGAGCATGGTCCTGATCATCTTTTGTAAGCTCCAATTTTGTTTCTCAACAATTCTATTTTGTTATGGGTTTTTTTTGGAGCGGAGAAGTTTGGGTCATACCTATTTAAATCATAAAACTTTTAAAAATTATAATTTTTAAATTCACTATCATGATCACTACAAATATATAAATCACAAAACCCTTTTCATTTAAACTTATTTATAAAACTTAATAAAATATTTAAAATAATATTTTTTATATGTTAAGAAGTATATGAAAGTGTTTCTAATATAATCATCAACAATGCATAGTTACTATTTACAAAACTTGTGATATTAATAAATCCAAATAAGTTTATATGAATTAGTTGTAGTTGTCTAGTGATATTTACTTGATTTTTGGATTTAAAACTACTCTTTATATATTTTTCTAATTGACATATATTTCAATTTTATTTTTAATAAATTTGATATTAGATATTTCTTCAACAAGTTTTTTTAGTTTTGATTTAAAAAATCAATTTCTAGTTTCCTATGCTAAAGCTATGTATTATTTCAAAGTTGAAAAACAAGTTATATTATGAAAATCATTAAGATCAATACTACAAATATTATAATTATTGAATCTTGAATTTTGATGATGAAATCAATTGATAAAGTTATGATCTAATTTATTTTTTGAGTGACGCAGGACTAACTTCAATTAAAAAAAGTGAATCGATGAAAGTAGGAGAATTAGACATTGGGCCAGAGTGAACATTATCGAATTTCAGACTTTAATGATGAAATCAATTGATGAGTTTGTGATCTAATCTGCGTTTTGAGTGACGCAGGACTAGCTTTGATCAAGAAGAGACAAATTGACTGAAGTAGGAAGAATCAGATGTTGGGTTAGAGTTGAACATGTTAGGAGATTCGACGTCGAGCCAGAGGATCGGTCGACGTGCTGGCAGAAGGACTTCGTGCCATGAGTTCGAGCATCGAGTTGAATGATTAGACATTGTGCCAAGGAGATCGAAAGTTGTGGGAGTCAACATGCTAATTGGGTAATACGCCGAAGGAGAGGACGATGCACCAGAGGATCGGACGAAGCACTGAAAGAACCAATGACATGCCGAACAATATATGTTTTGTGCTTTATAATAATTTATTTAGATTAAGTTATTCTAGATCTAATTAAGTTGGTATTGGGATGAAACAATGCTAACTCAATTAGGGGCTAATTGGGCCTGAATCAGGGCTGAATTGAGCATGTTGTTTGGCCCATTCAGTGTCCTATAGTAGGGTTTGGTGATGGTACCACTTAAACACAATCTTCAAGATTGTGTTAGATAGTGGTATCTCCAAACTGGTCGGTGGTACCGTTCAGTATTAGTGTGTCAGGTGATGGTACCGTTAGACTATGCGATAGTACCGCCCAGTGTTAGATTGACAAGCGGTGGTACTGCCCAATACTAGCGGTGGTACCGCTAGTATCCCGAAAACCCGGGATGAGATCATTTTGACTCCAAATTTGAATCCATTTGGGGCCTATAAAAACTTCACTCATCCCTACTCGGTGAAAACATTAACTGAGAGCAAAAAGGAAGGAAAATGTTGTCGTAATATTGTGAGAACTCCTCTCAAGCTCTAAGTGTTGGGTGAAGTTTAAGAGAGGGGTGAGTGGTTGTAAAGGTTATATCCTAAACCTATAAAAATGAGAAAATGGGTGTAAAAGGGTAGTTGATATTCGCCCATTGAAAGAAAATCAGGTAGTAGAAGTTGGTGGCCTCGAGTGAAGAGGAATCGGGAGTGGATGTAGGTCACGACGACCGAACTACTATAAACTCAGTGTGTAATTTCCTTTCTGCTTTTCATTATCATTGCCATTACTTTCTGAGTTAATTACTTAGTTTGCTTACTCTAAGTCAAGCATACTTTCATTATTGGATTTCATCGAATGAGTTTTTAAATTGACGTAATTTTTCATAAGCACTAATTCACCCCCCACCCTCTTAGTACGGATATGGTCCTAACAGTTGGTATTAGAGCCAGCTTTTCTCGATTAGATTAACACCCAAGAGAGATGGCTTTTTTCGACTTTCAAGAGAGTTTTTCTATTACTTGTCCTCCTATATTCAATTGGACGAACTATAGTTATTGGAAAACTCGGATGTGATTTTTCTTGCTTTCTTTGAACTTTGATTTATGGAGTATCGTTGAACTTGGTTTTCAAACCTCCTCTAAACCTATGAATGAATAGAATGACTTTGAAAAAAAACTCGTTTTCTCTAAATGCGAAAGCTATGAATGCTTTATTTTATGCTTTGGATAAAAACGAGTTTAATCGTATTTCGACTTATGAAATTGCACATGACATTTGACACACTCTTGAAGTCACACACGAAGGTGCAAGTAGGGTTAAAGATTCTAAAGTTAATTTTTTGATGCATGATTTTAAATTATTTTGTATGAAACCAAGTAAAACCATTAGAGATAAGTACACCCTTTTTACGGATGTCATCAATGATTTAAAGGCACTTGGTAAAAGTTTTTTGAATCTTAAACTTATGAATAAAATTTTACGTTCTCTTCCTAAAAACTAGGATTCAAAAGTAACTGTCAATCAAGAAGCAAAGGACCTAAATAATTTTTCGTTTGAAAAACTTATCAGGTTTTTAATGACTTATGAAATAAGTTATATGGCATAAGATGAACATGAGAACAATCTTTCAAAGAACAAAAAAAATGATACTGAGAACCAAAGAATACCACTTGAGTGATAACTTAAGTGATGATGATGATGATATAAAACTTTTGACAAGAAAATTCAAAAAAATTATAAAATAAGGAACTAAGAATAAAAACAAGCTCAAAAGGAACACAATAACTTGCTATGAATGCAATCAGTTGGGGCACCTCAAAAGTAAATGTCTGCAATAAAAGAAGAAGAAAACATTCAATACAACATGAGATGAATCGAGTATATTCGAAGACGAGGAGCAAACCGATAAAGAAGAGGTGGCGAACTACGTCTTGGTGGCTTTCGACAACGAGATAAGTGACTTAACCAAAACCTCTTTACTTTACTATAAAATTACTTGATGCATTTCATGAGTTATTTTAAATTAGTATATAAAATATAAAAAAAATAAATAGGGGGATCATGCTTCTCTTTCTAGTGATTTTAAAAAATTAAAAAAATTAAGTATGACAATTATATGTTAACTCCTAGCAGAGTATGAAGAGTTAGATTCACTTAAAAAAAGGAAAAATATATTATTACAATAAACAAAATGATTTTGATTGAAAATACTTTATATTTAATGAAATCATACTTGATGATTTAATGATGCATGAGGATTTGAAGCAATGATGATTTTTTTTTGTGTTATACTATTAATCTTTATCGTGATGAACTTTGCTGTTTCGGTTTTAAATGATGATGCATATTTTTATTTGGAATAAAAGATAAAGACATGCTTGTATGAAATAAATAAGGAATACAATTTTCTTGAAAAATTCTCTATCTTATCAATTTTTCAAAAAGAGATTAATGAATCGATTTGTGTTATTTTTTATAAATCTCATGAACTATGAAAGTAATTTTGATGATTTGATGGTTTAAATTTGAATAAATTTTTATCCAAATCATGATTTGATTCCTCGATAACTATAACTTGAGATTTTTATGAATCAAGATTGTTTACTATGATTCTTCTTTTCGTTATTTGATTTATCTAAATGAA